TTTGACAATACGCTATCCCGTTATTGTTCCGCGTTAAATAGCCTGTATCAGGCCTTCAATGTATGACAATGGGATTCTATTGTAAAGGACAAATGATGCGCTCAGTTATATAGCGGTCTTGAAGAAAGCCATCCAATTTACGATCGAAATAATAAACACTTTTTTTTACTTTATAGGAATGCGTGATTTTAATGGTCGCAATAGGCAAACTTGTGCCAAACTTTCGGCTAATTTCAGTATTTTTTGTTTTATATTTTAATCAAACAATAGCGGTGATCATTATATCTTTCAAAGTATGCCAACACACGGGGGAAAAAATCAGTAAAGACAGTGTTAGTAATACTGAGCGGTGGATAATCAACGGAATTGCCTGATACATAAAATGTTCACGGTTAAAGTACCCATCGAGACGTTTTTTTGTTATTCATAATAGTTTATGTTTAATAATCTTTTTTATTTAGCAGCATCTGTCATTAACCTGCAAACATAGCAAGCTGTGATAATATAAACTCACGTCTCCACCGCGATAAAGGCGACGACAGAGGTAAACACGCTGTTGTTTACTGAACGACATCACGGTGCCTATTGACACAAACAGGTCTAAAAGATAACGGGCAATTGTTACCATTCCACTCCTTCGTCTATAATGAACAATAACTCAGCCTTGTATACGTCAGTGCATGCGTTGAATGGGAAGACGACACCCTGATAACTGGTGACCTAAAAGAACAACAGTCGTATATTGTTTTCTCTTTCAAGATGAACCTGCGTCAGCGATCCTCTGTTCAATGAAGGGGAAAACAATCGAATCTTTTATAGAATAGTTTGCTGACAAGACGGATCGCGAAAAGTACATCACACGAGGTTACAGTTTAATTGTTAACAAATCTAGAATACGTCAGCAAAAAGTTGGTGTAATCACTGATCAGTTGATGAGATTCAGTTAACTGAAAACACACACATACATTGCGTCGATATATGGGCGCTGTATTTCAACCCATGCGAGTGTGAAAATACATTGCGTCATGTAAAATATCAAGCTAGTTTTGGCGTGAGATGTGATATATTCGTACACTGATTGCGTAGATGTTTATCAATCGTCCTAGCCCAAGGTCTATTGATACAAGTATACCATCTAATACATGATGATAGATTACTGTTAATTAATTAATAGTCTATTGCTTATGACAGAACGAGCATGTGGGCAATTTACACACGAGTTTATTTGTTGGGCGAAATCAACGAAGCAGATACGCATACACTGACATTTATGAGTACGTACCAGTAATGTTTACCCATTTGTGTATTATACCAACCACGCAAATCCAATGTATGATAACATACGATAAAACGCAAGTAGTAAACTTACTCAAAGTTACCCACGTTATATCTATGCTCATTGAGCAACCTTAGATTTTGTTCACGATGTAAAAAAGCTATCAGAATATCATTTGGGTATAATGTATATTGCATTAGAGTATTGAATTTACACGGATTATAGTGTTCAAATTATAATGAATGCGTTTGCTCCATGACGCTAAGTGTTTTACTAAAGTGAATGCGTTCATCATCGGTGTTTATTCTATCGTCCATTAGAACACGATTTAACGAACGTCCGTAACATCGCCAACTTGTGTTGAACTATTGTTTTCGTTGATGTCTGCCTCAAGATGGCGCCCTGACTTTACTTTGTAATCGACATTAACCATCGCTGAGGGAGCTGTCCTCAATAGTTCTGTGGATATTGTGTCAGCGACATTTTCTCCGGGCCTGCATTTTCCCAAACACTTACACCCTCTGTATCCCATGACAACAGCAAACGCGCGGACGGATATTGCACAGAGAATTGTAAACAGGCTAACAAGTTGAATGATGTCACAGTTGATTTCCAAGACATAATTGGCACAGTTTTGAGTAGAAAAATACGCCGCACAATAAGGAAAAATAAATATGTTACATACAAATATTATACATTGATATTGTATATTGTTCAATGCACGCTCAATAAAAACGTTGTAATTCATGTATATTGACGAAAATAAAGACAGACAACTTGAGGTTGCTATATACTAAAGTATCACCAAGTACAACTTGTTATTCAACTCTATACTTCACATGTAATTAGATCCCGTTAATGTTACACATCGGTACGTACCGTGACAACACTGTTGTGACTAATCAAGTCGCGCTTGTCAAGACGGAGTTGACGGATACCAGAGCAGTAAGTACTTGTTGTGCAACAACTGTTCATCTTATGCTGGGATTATTGACGATGAGAAAATGGCGGTAATCAGGATGGGTCATTTGTTGTGCATGTTGTGTATGCTTCTGTCTACTGCTATAACAGGTAATATCATTAACAAATTCTCATAAAGCCTTGCTAATGAAAAAAAAACCGATCTGCTTAGTAGAAATTTCGTGAGCCATCAAGTTTTCTCTTTTTATTTTAAAGGGGGTTATACAACACACTATTAATCCACCTAATATTTATTTATCATATTTTTTTATTTGTACTGTAAAATACTGTACTTTACTTGAAATATATACTTCAGCAAACGTTTCGCTTACTATTAACCATATTTTCTTTCCTCATTATTGGCAGATGGATCGCCAGTATTTGACGCGTCTACTACGGGGGTAGTTTATATATCAGAAAATATAGCAGCATCGACATCTATTCATCGGATCAGTGCAACAGACACAGCTGGTAGCACCATGACTATGAGCATAACCGGAAGAGATCCGACAGATGCTCCGTTCGATCTTGCTTTATCGTTCACGAGTAGTGGTACAATAAGATATGACGTATGTATGACGGGTTTTTTAAATTCTAATTGATTACCTCTACATAATGATCTATATTTTATATACATGATTAATTCAAATTTATTACTCCATATTTTTGACAGGATAAATGGTAATTCTATGTTTATAAAATAATTGAATGTCTGTTGATTACCACAGCTCGCAAGTCGAGCTGTACATTTATTGGGATTGTCACCATGGATCGGTCGTCTCTATGTACATATATATATATAACTCGTATAATAACTCGTAGGCTACGCTGCCATATTCCTACTTATATTATATTACCGATAATACGATCATGGGCATAATTTTTGCCATTATTGTTGTATTCTCACTCCAGTCTAGTGTGTTATATAGTTTTTGTCATAAAAATGCATATTCTATTTTCAATTCCCAGATACGAACAAATTCTGCTCCTGGTATAAACTTCGAAGAACGCGCTACATACGAGCTGATTATTACTGTCGTCGATGCCAGCTCAAATTCACAACAAACTACACTCACTATATCCGTTAACGACGAGCCAGAAGCTCCCTGGTTTGTAAACATCCCTGCAGGGGGCCTACAACTGGGTATCAACGAGAACACAGGAGGAGGAGTGTCTATATACCAGCTCAGTGCTAATGACCAAGACTCGGGGTTCGCCCCTAGCTTCACAATCTCTGGAGGAGGCGGAAAGTTTGTCATTGGGAGCAGTACAGGTGTTATAACGACAGTTGCAAATCCAGGCTTCGACTATGAGTCTGGTACGAACTCCTACTCGTTAACAGTACAAGTATCGGACGGGACTGGTACCGCTAGTGACTCCGATACTATTCAAATCAATATCATAGATGTCAACGACAATGTCCCTACGTTCAGGTAAATCGAGTTAGTCAAGCATATATGAAACAAGTCCGTTATTATTATCATAAAATATAAGCGAAACGAAATAAAACAATTAATACTAATGAGAACATGAAAACACTAATTGAAGCAATTTGTGAGTACGTATGTATGTCACAGTTTGCAAAAGAAAGATTTTTCAATAAAACAAACTGTCGTTCGTATATTGCAGTTCAACTTACAGTACCACGTACTACGTTGACGAAGAAAGCAATGTGGGCACAACTGTAGTGGATATAGACGCCACGGACACAGATAGTGGAGATACAGTCTTGTTTGAGTTTGTGAATAGCGAAAACGATTTTGTTATTGACGCGGGTGAGTAAATCTGGAGCATGGCGTTAACCAATCTGATTGGCTTAATTTTTTAAATTGTATTTTAATATTTGTTTTATTATTCTTACCATTAATTACCATTAAATTTATATAAATATGTTATTGCAGCAAAGTAATTGTAACGTCAAAAAAATAATTAAAATAAATAATAATTATAGCAACCAGGATCCTATATTAATCAGATTGAGCGTTAAATGTCTCTCTTCATTCAGTTCGGAAGCAGCACTGTATCCATGATCAATTAGTTTCACGAAAGTCTTTCGATTTTCATATATTTTATGAATATGTTGCTTATTGCTATACAGGGTCATATGTGAAAAAAAATTGGAAGTACAAACCAATTTTTTCAGATAAATGTGATATTACTGCATGTAGATTTTGAAGTTATTTAATAGAACTCTATGTGGAAAATTTAAAACACGATAAAAGCTAAAACATGGGGGCACATATTTGTAAAAAATACGGCAGTTTAAGTAGTTCCCCCTATGCCACACTGTGCCTATGCTAACATCTGCGATAAAACGTGTTCTCACGAAAAAGCCTGTATTGAGGAACCTAAAACATCTCTATACGTGTTGGTGAGTGAGACGATCACAGAGCCATTCTATCCACGAGCTATCATGCCCTTTTTTATGTTTATTCATGCTATGTTCAATGTTACTTCCAGGGACGGGGGCAATCAAAACCAATTCCATAATGGATTATGACGACTCAAGTCAGGTCAATGTCTGGTCAATACCGGTGAGGGCGTACGACGATGACAGAACTCATTCGTCGACAGTTACAGTGGTAATCAATCTACGAGATGTCAACGACAACACACCCACATGTAACCCATCTGTCTATGTGTGAGTATCTACACTGTATCTACAATACGACCAGATCATGACTGGCATGACGGGTAGATCTGCGACATATAAAACTTGGAAATTAAAATTAGATTTAAATAAATAAGCATGGTGTCTGACGAAGTGTCATCTACACTTCAATCTCAGTTTATAATGTAAACCACAGTCCCTCCTCTTCTGTTGAGGTACTGTGTGTAAACCAATCTCGAACGAACGCACGTACGGGCGATTTATTTGGAAGACAAAGAAGATAGGTACACGCCGTAAAGACAAATAAGGCAACAAACCAAAAATAAAAATAAAACGTTGTAGATCGACGTGCAAGCATAATCACAGTACATCCTTACAGTATACGGGTATTGCAATAGACTGACATCAAGATTGATAATTAATACGATCCGGTTGTAACCTTTCAACTCAAAGCTTTGATGTTATTTTTCTTTTCCACTTTATAAAGGAAACCTTCAGATAAAGTAGCGACATACAAGAATCAGACAAATTTCACTCTCATTGACAATGTATGATGTTTATGAATAATTTCCATATTTTAACAGGAGCTGTATTGGCAGAAGATAGTAACGTCAACGATTTAGTTGCATCGCTGGTATGCACAGACAAAGACGGCTCAAGTCCAAATAATGACATCACTATATCGATGACGTCAGGCAGCAACGTTTACTTCCAATACACAAACGCGGGAGTTGTTACGGTAGGGTGGTATTAGTCAGTGAATAGACAAAGAATTCAAGGTCGAACTACTGGTTATATAATTTGAAGAAAAAAAAGTTTAGTTTCCAGCAAATATTCATCGAAACAAAAAAATCAACACGACGTATCTAATACCTTAGTAGTTAATAAATTTATGTTTACATTCTTGCAACTTTATTTTACTGTTTGTTTTTGACTTTATTCGTATGTATTTGATTGCATTTGGTTATTGTAATATGGGTAATTTTGAGTACTGTTTTGTTTGGTATCACATGTATATTACACACTAGTAATCAAAAGCAGAATATAAAATTATAGATTGTGCATGGACACGGTTCAGTAACTATTACATGCAACTGTCTAGTATTGGCACTGTAATTCTATAAATGTTGTTTGTACTACAGGTGAAGTCGAATTTAAACTATGACGACAGTTCATTGGCCAGTAACAATCATCGCTATGAACTAGTTTTTGAAGCTGCTGACGGTGGATCCAATCCTTCAAGTCTAACGGGTAAGGTTACTTTATTCTTGTGCATTAGGCGTGTTATTATCGGAGTAACAGAATAGATGTCTGCCGGTTAATTTCCTTTTGGGTGCATGGCCCCTTCGTTGACTAGGTCTAATGTATGCGTGATATTTGTTGCAGGAACTGCTACTGTAATTGTGCAAATCACGGACATCAACGATAATTCCCCACAGTTCTCACAGGCATCTTACTCGGCGAGTGTGGATGAGGATGAGAACGTAGGTTATGTGGTGGTTACAGTCGTTGCTACTGATAACGATTGGCCTTTCGACACGGTCACCTATGAAATCATCAGCGGTGACGATGCGTCCCAGCCGAAATTCAGCATCGAACCAATAACTGGTTCTATCAAACTCCGAAACACGCTGGACTATGAAACCAGGTCGTCTTACACATTAACCGTTAGAGCCACGGACGGAGATTTGAACGATCCGAACACGGTGACGGCGTCAGTGGTCATAACGATTGTCAACGTAAATGACGTTGCGCCGTATTTCAACCCTTACGTTATATCGGTGTCGTTGACGGAAACCGCTGCTAATACTGGCGTGGATGCTACCTCACTTAACTGTATCGATGAAGACTCACCCAATTCCGAAATTGTCTACGACATATTGTCGGGTGAGTAGAGTGTGAATACCATTGCATTAGTATTGAACGGATGAGAAGTCTGTGCCATATTCTATGATCCAATCGATCGTGCAGAACAAGTTCAACACATTATACAACATAACATATTCAACACTTCGCAATCACACATTAGATATGTTTTCCTCTATCACGTATATGTTTACCCTTATCCTTGCAGGTAATTCTGAAGGTAAATTTACATTACCAGTGACGACTGGTACCCTCAATCCATCTGTAAGGCTTACTACTAGTATTGACTATGATGACGTGGCCGAAGCACAGAGCTATACTCTTGTTATCAGAGCTCGAGACAACAATGGCGCCGGGTTGTCAGGCACTGCTGTCGTACAAGTGGAGATCACCGGAATTAATGAGGATACACCCACTTTCATTAACCCCGACCCTAATCCTGTCAGTGTAAGTACTTTGTTAAAATTCACCTGCGCCGTAACTGCTCCATTGGATACCTTATCTGTATCTGCGACGTCGTGTTATATGTGGATAGTTCATGCATAGTTTGAGACAATAGCGATCTATCGAAAGTTGTATAGATTGAGTGATTTCGAAAGACTTTCGCGTATTTTTTACGAATATATATATTGTGACATTTGAAAACCAGTTATTTGCGCGCCTTTATATTAAAATTTGTTCATGAGCTGACATTAGTTCGTCTGAAATCTTAAAACGACACTAAATATCCCTATCACGTCGATGTGTGTTTTATAAAGATATGTCAGAGTACCCGTCGTCGTCACTTTAACCATAGAAGGTACTAACGTTAGTACCTTCCATGCTTTAACCAAATAACTGTGCCTTATCCTAGTTACGGACGCCGATAATTGCCATCAGTACTCAATTACCGGTAAAATTGCTTTCCTTTCAGATTCCTGAACAACTGAGTGTCGGCACATCGGTGGTGACGATACATGCTGACGACGGTGACAGGGGTACAGACGGTGAGGTATCGTACTTATTAATCAGTGGCGACACTCATGAATCGTTTGAAATTGACCCGTCTTCAGGAGTCATCCGCATTAAAAAAGAAATCGACTACGACACAATGGGAAGTAACAAGTATTACAGCCTGGTCATCCGTGCTGTAGACGGCGGTGATCCGGCACAGTCTCAAACACAGTCAGTGTCCGTGACTATCACGGATGTTAATGACATCGTTCCATCGTGTGCTGTGTACCTGTATACTGTAACTGTGTATGAGGACACTGTGTCAAACACAAAGTTTGTAACTCTGGACTGCGAGGATGCAGATTCTTCAAATTTCGGTGATTTAGTTTATACCATATCGCCTTCGGTGACTGAATTCACGATGGATCAAACAGACGGTGGTGTGACGCTCGCTAACGGACAAACTCTAGATTATGAGTCCGGGACGCAGGAATATAAATTAAATATCATTGTAAGTTTAACGAATAATTATCTTTTTAATAGTTCGTTGTTCTGTTTGAAATACTCAATGTAATCTCCATTCGTATTTGTTTGTGATCATATCGTAGGTACGAGACAATGATCCTACAACAGCCAATCGCCTGTCAACAACCGTCATAGTCACAGTTAAGGTTGGACCCATCAATGAATATTCCCCGTCATTCACATCTAGTTCTGACGTCACGGTGTATGTGGATGAAGACGCAACGAATGGTTACCAGGTGACAATCATGAGTGCAAGTGATGATGATCTCAGTGATCACATACACGGTATAATACGTCATCGAATAGACTCTCCAGCCAATGTACCATTTGGTATCGATTCTTCTACAGGTAAGCTAGAATCCACATGACGAGTCACGTGACCTAATACACTACTTGTCCGTATATATTTCCCACAATGCATTTCTTCTAACAAGCAATGATTAATTTCTCCGAGTGTGTATGTTCCGATAAAAAATGTTAACATGATTCATTGCATTTACATTGAATGCACCCCTACCCCACACACACGCACTCTATGATCACGGGAATTAAATAAGCAATTATTGGTTATTTGCAGGAACAATCAAAGTAACGTCTGGACTAGATTATGAAACCACGACCCGTTATGTTTTATTCATTGTGGCAGAAGACTATGGTGGACTGGAAACTACCGGTACAGTAACGGTGTCGATTAATGATGTCAACGATAATTACCCAGCATGCTCTCCAACCTCGCATAGCGGGTCAATTGATGAAACGTTCTCCACAAGTGGTGAAGTAAGTTATTTTTAAAGTTATTATGACATATATTACCGAGTGTATGACACGTTTAGGGATAATATTTCATAATATCTCTTAATGTAAAATATATTCATGTGATCTTTTGATATCTCTCTACTTTGAGATATATCTACGTGAGATGTTTCGATATCTCCTATTTTTCTATATATTTATACTGTGAGATACATTCATGTGACGTTGCTATATCTCAATCATGTAAGATATATTCATGTGCTATGTTTTGGTAATTTTATAATGTGGGATAGATCCATGCGATATGTTTCTATAACTATATAATGCGAGATATATTCATGTGATATGTTTCGACATATCTATAATGTGAGATATCTCCATGTTTTTCGATATCCCCATGGTGACAGATGCATACAGGTGGTATTTTTGACATTTCTAAAATGCAAGATACCTCCATGTGTTTTATCTCTAATGTTAGATACATCCATGTGATATGTTCGATATTTCTATAATATGAAATACATTTCATGTGAAAATTGTTGATATCTCTCGAATGTGACATACAGTCAGGTGTTATGTTTCGATAAATTTATAATGTGAGATACATTCGTATGACATGTTCGATATCTCTGTAATATGAAATACATTCATGTCAACTTTTACGTGATATTTTTTATATCACTATAATGTGAGATACCTCGTGTGATATTTTTCGACACCTCTATACTGCGAAATATATGTGATATGTTTCAACATCTCTATAATGTGCAATACCTCCATGTGATATTTTGACACGTCTATAATGCGAAATATATACATGTGATATGTTCGATATCTCTATAACGTAACATACCTCCATGTGATATTTTGACACGTCTATAATGCGAAATATATACATGTGATATATTCGATATCTCTATAACGTAACATACCTCCATGTGATATTTTGACACGTCTATAATGCGAAATCTATACATGTGATATGTTCGATATCTCTATAACGTAACATACCTCCATGTGATGTTTCGATATCCCTATAATTTGAGATATATCCATGTGATATTTTACAACATCTCTATAATGTGTAATATATACATGTGATAAATTCTATATCTCTATAATGTGACATACCTTCATGTGATATGTTTTGATATCCCTATACTGTGAGATATCTCCATGTGACATTTTCGACATCTCTATAATGCGAAATATATACATGTGATATTTACGACATCTCTATAATGCATGACATCTACATGTAATATATTTGACAACTTTATATTGCGAAATACGTACATGTGATATGTTCGATATCTCTCTAACGTAGCATACCTCCATTTGATATTTTCGACATCTCTATAATGCTTGACACCTCCATGTGTTATTTACATCTCTATAATGCATGACATCTACATGTGATATTTTTGACAACTCTATATTGCGAAATATGTACATGTGACATGTTCGATATCTCTCTAACGTAAAATACCTCCATTTGATATTTTCGACATCTCTATAATGCATGACACTTCCGTGTGATATTTACGACATCTCTATAATGTGAGATATCTCCATGTGATATTTACGACATCTCTATAATGTGAGATATCTCCATGTGATATTTACGACATCTCTATAATGTGAGATATCTACATGTGATATTTACGACATCTCTATAATGTGAGATATCTACATGTGATATTTACGACATCTCTATAATGCATGATATCTCCATGTGATATTTACGACATCTCTATAATGTGAGATATCTCCATGTGATATTTACGACATCTCTATAATGCATGATATCTGCATGTGGTATTTACGACATCTCTAAAATGCATGATATCTGCATGTGATATTTACGACATTTCTATAATGCATGATATCTCCATGCGATATTTACGACATCTCTATAATGTGATATATCTGCATGTGATATTTATGACATTTATATAATGCATGATAGCTCCTTGTGATATTTACGACATATATATAATGTGAGATATCTGCATGTGATATTTATGACATTTCTATAATGCATATCTCCATGCGATATTTACGACATCTCTATAATGTGAGATATCTGCATGTGATATTTATGACATTTCCATAATGCATGATAGCTCCTTGTGATATTTACGACATCTCTATAATGTGAGATATCTGCATGTGACATTTATGACATTTCCATAATGCATTATAGCTCCTTGTGATATTTAGGACATCTATTTAATGTGAGATATCTGCATGTGATATTTATGACATTTCTATAATGCATGATATCTCCATGCGATATTTACGACATCTCTATAATGTGAGATATCTGCATGTGATATTTATGACATTTCCATATTGCATGATAGCTCCTTGTAATATTTACGACATCTATATAATGTGAGATATCTGCATGTGATATTTACGACATTTCTATAATGCATGATATCTGCATGTGATATTTACGGCATCTCTAAAATGCATGATATCTGCATGTGATATTTACGACATTTCTATAATGCATGATATCTCCATGTGATATTTACGACATCTCTATAATGTGAAATATCTGCATGTGATATTTACGACATGTCTATAATGCATGATATCTCCATGTGATATTTACGACATCTCTATAATGTGAGATTTCTGCATGTGATATTTACGACATTTCTATAATGCGTGATATCTCCATGTGATATTTACGACATCTATATAATGTGAGATTTCTGCATGTGATATTTACGACATTTCTATAATGCATGATATTTCCATGTGATATTTACAGCATCTCTATAATGTGAGATTTCTGTGTGTGATATTTACGACATTTCTATAATGCATGATATCTCCATGCGATATTTACGACACCTCTATAATGTGAGATATCTGCATGTGATATTTACGACATTTCTATAATGCGTGATATCTCCATGTGATATTTACGACATCCCTATAATGTGAAATATCTGCATGTGATATTTACGACATTTCCATAATGCATGATTATATCCATGCGATATTTACGACATCTCTATAATGTGAGATATCGGCATATGATATTTACGACATTTCTATAATGCATGATATCTCCATGTGATATTTACGACATCTCTATAATGTGAGATATCTGCATGTGATATTCACGGCATCTATATAATGTGAGATATCTCCATGTGATATTTACGACATCTCTATAATGTGAGATATCTGCAAGAGGCAATATCGAATATGTGTGTATAAATGTTTACTAGTGATATTCACCTCTTGTGAAAAATTGTTTCATCAATAAGCACAAGAGAGTTTCTTTGTTGAAATAATGAACTACGCACAATATAAAGCGTCTAATCGAATAAACACCACACAAAGAGTAATTTATATATTTAGATCAGGTCAATTGAAAGTCGCTGGTGTCTGTGATCTGACATACATGTGTTTAGACGATATGCTTTGGTTTCCGCTAACTTTCCGATTTCGGAAATGTATTGCTTTTGAGCACATTCTATGAATAACTGGAATAGAATTAATTGTGGGCAGTTTGACTCAACAATGTTTTGGTGTTATGGTATGCAATCAAGCGTTAGCATTGTCGCCTATGAGATGTCAAATACTGGCCTTATGCCCTATTTACGTAATTCCTTAAAGCGCGAGGGTCGTCACGTGCGCACGCGCGAGAATTGAGTCCCAGGCGATGATAACAACACACGCTAAGAACGCAGAGGCTCTTGGGTAGACGCTTGTTTGTAAACAATGACACACTATGGCACTATGCGTAGGTGACGACTCCCCGCTTTAACAACTCAATGAGTGTAGCACTGCCCCGGGACTATGAGCACTGACACTTAACAACTCCATATTATTTTGTGTTTACCATTGTCAGGTTGTGAAAATCACGTGTACGGATGACGATAGTAGTGTCGACGGAACTGTACTTTTCGATTTAACCCAAACGCCTTCGAGTAAATTCGTTATCAGTGGCACGGGTAGTCTCACGCTTGATACGGCGGTAGATTTTGATTCAGGTATGTCATCGTTTTATGATTTCTACGTTATTTAGAAAACTACTCAATAATTTATTATTAGTACGCTTCATTGTCACTTCGTGGAACACCAATAATTATATGTTTTGTATGTATGTATGTTTGACTTACAGGGGAGACAACGTATATTCTGACTGTTTTTGCAAGAGACAACTCTGCTGACGCAAACCTGCGAAAGACGACCACTATTCCTATAAGCATCGAAGTAAACGCCGTCAATGAATACACTCCTGATTTCGACCAAGATCTATACAGTGAAACTATTAGCGAAGAGTTTAGTGTGGGGGATGTGTTTGTAACTGTTGGTGCTGTTGATAATGATAGAAATGATCATATCCACGGCATTCTCACGTGAGTATGAATGTTTTGTTCTATAGTTACAATGTCATATATGGTTCGTAACGTAGCCATGAGCAAGACGTTGGGCGTTCTCATAGGTATACTACATTCCTCTACTTTTGTCTAAGCATTTTTATATTTTGTATTTCCGTTCTCGCCTGATAATATCACGTAGTTCAATCTCGTGCGCATACGCGGTTGACTATGTGATGTCTTGCTTGAGTGTTTAGTATTTTCAATATTCTTTGCTATAGATACACAGTTACCAACGGCGACCCGGATGGACAGTTTCAGATTGACCCGTCGTCTGGCGCCATATCAGTTAAAGCTCCATTGGACAGAGAAACACACTCATCGTATGATCTCTTAGTGAAAGTTCAAGACGGAGGAAGCCCGGCTTTATCTGATACGACCACAGTGCAAGTGACAATCAGTGATATTAATGACAAATACCCTGAATGTAGCCCGGCGTTCTTCAGTGAAACAATCGCCGAAGACGAAGGCACTGATTTTGTTGTAGCGACGATAACGTGTACAGATACAGACGATGCCGACTACGGAGTTGCTGGTTTTGCGTACTCCATCACGTCTGGTATGTACACCGTGTACCAATTGCGAGATTTTAACTATGTTTATTCCATATAATGTCACAGTATGTAATATAATGTACTCTGAATTCCTAATTAATTAAAGCTAAAACTATTCAGGATGTACATAGCAACATGTTATAGCGAGCAAAATACCCATAATGCACCTTTGACCGCCAGTCGTTGTTGATAAAATAACAATAATAACTGAAATATAAACGTGTGCGGCGATTTTTGTTCAAATGTGTACGCAATAAAACCCAAAACATTCCTGTCATAGTTAGTTGTCAAGTGAGTATATTCAGACATCATCGGATGAGTATACAGTGTGTTTTAAAGAAGTAAAATAACTGTACGTCGTCGTTGTTGTTGTCCACACAGGTAACAGCGATGGATATTTCAAACTTGTCGCTAATGAACTACAGTTGGCCAAACAACTGGACTTCGAGAGTAAAATCTATCACAGCGTAGAGGTAACAGTGTCTGATAACAATGGTAATTCACCTACAAATACGATAGTGATACCCATTGCTCTTACAACGTATCCAGTGAATGAGTTTACGCCCGTATTTAGCCCGACGATTTACACTGATCCGTTTGAAATCGACGAGGACAGGAGTGTGGGAGATGTCCTCGTTGATGTGGACGCCTCTGACGATGATCTTGATTTGAACGCACATGGACAGATATCATATACTATCGAATCAGGGAACTCTGCAGGAAAATTTGATATAGATTCTACGAATGGAAATATATTCTTAGTTAAAACCTTAGACCGAGAAACAGTTAATAGCTACAGTCTCCTAATACAGGCCGCTGACAGAAATCTAAACGGGGGTATCGACCTAACGGCTACGATCAGCGTATCGATCACAATAGTGGACGTGAATGACAACGATCCACTTTGTAATCCAGATTTATATACATACGAGATACCCGAGAACACGGCCTCTGGTACGAGTATTGGTACGATTACATGTAGTGATCTGGACGATGGACAAAATGGCGATTTAACCTATGCTATCCTCAGCGGCAGTAATTCTGATTTCGTGATCAGCAGCACAGGGGTCATAAGAACCGACGACGACATTGACTATGAATCACTTGAAGATGAGCAACTGTACACGATGGTGATCGAAGTCGCCGATCAGGGCTCGACTCCGCGCAGCACAAGCGTGTTTGTAAGTGTTATCATCACTCCAGTGAATGACGCAACACCAGTATTCTCTCAACCGTCCGGCTACAGCGTCACTATACCTGAAAGCACGGTAGTTGGTACATCTGTTTTACAAGTTGTAGCCACAGACCAAGACGACAGTAAGTAAGAATCACATTTCTAATTCGGTGGTCAACTCGGAAATTGACTCGGAACTAACAATTTATTGTATTTTTCAGATATCGATGGTCAGATTTCTTACTCAATGACTTCGCCAAAGTTTCGCATAGAGACTAACACCGGAGTAATCATCGTAAGTGATTTACTGGATTACGAAGAAACGATAATGTACACCATGACAGTTACCGCAACTGATTTATCTAACACTGTACCTAGAGATGCCAGGTATGTGTCAACAATATTGTTAATAATGCATTACACTAACTCGTTTACACGTCAGCTAAGAACCATTTGTTCGACCGAAACCTCAACGTGGCCGGTTATGAATGGCCGGCTTTAGCGAAACCGTTCGATTTGGGCGATGAATGGCTCGAGACAGCAAAAATCGTTGTGTAAACGCGTTCGGCTTCAATAAAGTCGGGGTTGACCTCTGATATGACTGGGCCCGACATGGTCCTGACCATCACGGAGCAAACTCATTGGGGCCGAAATCACGCCTTCTATATCCTTCTTCAAATTACGTTCCATTCAAATCATAGGATCTCAGGAGCGGATATCGTTTGGTATTTCTGTCCGGAAACTATAGATAAACCAATTGATAAACCAATCGATCGCAAAGATAAGTGCTGGGAATGTAGGTACTGTCATTACAGAGAATCCAACAAACTTTCCACAATTCCACAAAGGTGAAGTCGATTGCCTAAAAAAGTACATATACACTGATATTTATTCATTGACAAACCAAAATCAAAGATAATGTCCAAGTTGGAACTGTCCGATTCTTGTGGAAAGAAGCCAATGATATGGGCGTTGTCGTTTTTGGAGTTGGTGCGCCTTGACAGTTCATAGTCAGGCAAAAATAGTACAAGAACTTGAAATATTGATTATTATAGGAGCGTTGCCTCGAGTAACGTAAGATATTTTTGTTTATTTTTAGCGTGACTGTGACCATTAATATTGAAGATGAAAATGATAACGATCCTACATGCGACCCTAGCGTGTACACTAATTCGTTGTCTGAGAATGATGCAGTGTCAACGGTAGCTGCGAATCTCTTATGCTCCGATGCCGACAGTGGAGACAACAGTTTGTTGGTTTATGACATTATCTCTAGTACTGATCCAAATGCTGACTTTACAGTGACAGCAACTGGTGTGGTGGAAACGGCTAAAACGTTAGATTTTGAAACGACTCAGGCATATTCACTTCATGTAGAAGTTAGCGACTCTGGAACGTCAGGTGCCAGAACGACGACAGTACAAGTTGGTGTGGCGATAACACCGTACAACGAAGCAGCGCCTACCTTCACGGCAGGTCTCTATTCCACCACCGTGTCTGAATATTCAAGTCCCGGATATGACGTCATGGATATAGATTGCACAGATTCTGATTTAGGTGACGACGCTACAATGGAAAATATTGAATACACCCTTCTTACCTCCACCGATTACTTTTCCATTGACATAGAGTCGGGTTTAGTTGAAGTCAAATCATCTCTGGACAGGGAAGCTACACCAAGTGCCTTGGAATTCATCGTCCAATGCAAAGACACTTTAACCGTTCCGCAACAGAGATCTTCCACTACAACGATGACCATCACTGTCTCAGACGAAAATGACAACACGCCTGTTTATGATCCTGTCACTTATGAATACGAAGTGCGAGAGAACACACCAGTAAACACTGTCATTGGTCAGTTACTGGTAACTGACGAGGACGACCCAGCAAACACAGTTATAACATTTACTATCGTCGGGTCGGGTAACAGTGATGCCGTGTTCGCCGTCGACACCAACGGGGAAATACGTGTCAATAGCGTTACCAACTTAAACTTTGAAGTGACGAAACATTATACATTTCTTGTGCGTGTACAAGACGGGGGATCGTCTCCACTAAGCGCAACGGCAACAGTTGAAGTGGACATTCTGCCATACAACGAGCACACGCCTTCCTTTACCGATGATGGTTCATATAACTGTAAGAAACACTTCACTCTACTATAGCTTCTTATTATAGTTTTCTTTGAAGTGATCGATTTTTGATTGTTAACTCATTTCAATATTATTTTCACAGTTTATGTTGTAATAATTATAATCATATACCTGAAAACTGGAAAGCAAAATATATAACATTATCTGGTGAACGAATACTGAACGATATTTGTAATGCGACATGCTATTACCATGGCACGGGGAATCAGAACAACGTAGATTCACTGACCAAATTATCATCACGCGTACCAGGGGTATCACATTTCGGGGTACTAAATTATACTAGTAATACCACATGTATCCATATTACGAAATATGATCTGTGTAAGGAACCAGCCTTTCACTGCAAGAATACATCATTTCACATGTATAATGAATTTCTATTCGCACTATTTATATTATTTGTCATAACCGCAGTTAGAATAGACGAAGACGCCGCATTGGCCCTTGACGTTGGTCAAGTCATTGCTACGGATAGTGACGACTCTGACTACGAAGACGGACGTATTGTCTACAGCATTATTGATGGAAATGATGAAGACAGATTCTACATCGATTCCACTTCTGGTAAGATACTGTTGTATCGTAATTTTCACAGGCCAAGTGTACATCTATAATCACTATAATTTTAGAGTGTATTTCTATACAGTGGTCACATGACCGATGAGTGTGAAATTTATTTGTATTCTAAAACAATGCGTATTACATACTGTAAAACATGTTGAAAAAGCGGCATGCAATTTTAGCGAATTGTGGTAAAATGACGTAATTGCGAAATGTTGATTTAGCGAATCTCTTTTGTCATTGTTGATTTCTTTGTTTGGCGGCCATTTTGAATTGACAATAAAGTCATTAGCGACATCTTGAATTAGCGAATCAGTTCTCTCGCTAAATTCGCGAGAAAGACATGCTCACGAAAAAGACATGTTTCACAGTATACCGACGTACGGTTTTATATTTTCAATATTTTCCAGGTTGGATCAAAGTAAAACAGAGTGTTGACCGTGAGAGTACGGACTATTATAGGTTAACTATTCGAGGTATAGACGAAGGTACTATACCTCACGCACTGTATTCCGATGCAATCGTGGACATATACATTGACGATGTGAATGACAATGTTCCATTCTGCGATCCAACAATATACGCAACGCAGCTGTACGAAAACGTTGGTTCCTCGGTAACAGTAGCCATCGTTCTGTGCTCGTAAGTTGCTAGAATATAGTTTATCATATGTTTCAAATGTCTGTCTATGACCATGTTGTTGCTTCATACGATACTCTAGTGTAAGCGTTGCTGTGTATAAGCTAATGACATTTCAATAAGTTTAATATGGAACGCGACAAGTTAATAAATTTCACTTGTTTATAATCTATATGACATATGTGTATATTGTGATACAGTAACTGGATCTATAGTACATTGTTCGTCAAATGACCCTCATTGCCATGCTGAGCTGCCTATATTTAACAAAGGTCAAATCAACCACGTGTACTTCTATCGTATATATTCCGACATGGAAAGGCTAACATGTTCGGGGGAGATGAATTCATATTACACGATTCCTATCATTTCAGGGATGAGGACGACGGAGTAAATGAACAATTAAATTATGCCATAACCAGTGGCGATAATCCAAGTACCAATAGATTTTCCATCAGTCCATCGGGAATTATCACAACAGCTATATCGAGTCCATTCGATTATGAGGATACTAAAGAATGGGATCTGGTTGTACAAGGTAGAAAACAATAACTTCTCTGAATCTTTATTTATTTATTTATTTATTTATTTATTTATTTATTTATTTATTTATTTATTTATTTATTTATTTATTTATTTA